GGGCTTAAAAAATCCATTTTTTTTAACCCATCCGATTTTTGCCCATTTTCGACGCCCACGATGGATACATCGGGGTGTCCGATTTTGACCACATTTTCGAATGCGGATTTTTTAGCTTTTTTACGTTCTTTAGGCTTCAAGCTACGTGTGGCTAAAAAATCTAAAAAATCGGACCACGGGAACTGCCTTTTTTCAGCCGTCAAACTCCGAGGATCTACGAGTCGATTTTGCAGACTTTGGAAACGCGTGGCCGGTCTACCCTTCGACTTTTTTAAACGTTTTATACGTCAAAAAACTCGTCAGGGAATGCTCTAAAAAATGGGCTTAAAAAATCCATTTTTTTTAACCCATCCGATTTTTGCCCATTTTCGACGCCCACGATGGATACATCGGGGTGTCCGATTTTGACCACATTTTCGAATGCGGATTTTTTAGCTTTTTTACGTTCTTTAGGCTTCAAGCTACGTGTGGCTAAAAAATCTAAAAAATCGGACCACGGGAACTGCCTTTTTTCAGCCGTCAAACTCCGAGGATCTACGAGTCGATTTTGCAGACTTTGGAAACGCGTGGCCGGTCTACCCTTCGACTTTTTTAAACGTTTTATACGTCAAAAAACTCGTCAGGGAATGCTCTAAAAAATGGGCTTAAAAAATCCATTTTTTTTAACCCATCCGATTTTTGCCCATTTTCGACGCCCACGATGGATACATCGGGGTGTCCGATTTTGACCACATTTTCGAATGCGGATTTTTTAGCTTTTTTACGTTCTTTAGGCTTCAAGCTACGTGTGGCTAAAAAATCTAAAAAATCGGACCACGGGAACTGCCTTTTTTCAGCCGTCAAACTCCGAGGATCTACGAGTCGATTTTGCAGACTTTGGAAACGCGTGGCCGGTCTACCCTTCGACTTTTTTAAACGTTTTATACGTCAAAAAACTCGTCAGGGAATGCTCTAAAAAATGGGCTTAAAAAATCCATTTTTTTTAACCCATCCGATTTTTGCCCATTTTCGACGCCCACGATGGATACATCGGGGTGTCCGATTTTGACCACATTTTCGAATGCGGATTTTTTAGCTTTTTTACGTTCTTTAGGCTTCAAGCTACGTGTGGCTAAAAAATCTAAAAAATCGGACCACGGGAACTGCCTTTTTTCAGCCGTCAAACTCCGAGGATCTACGAGTCGATTTTGCAGACTTTGGAAACGCGTGGCCGGTCTACCCTTCGACTTTTTTAAACGTTTTATACGTCAAAAAACTCGTCAGGGAATGCTCTAAAAAATGGGCTTAAAAAATCCATTTTTTTTAACCCATCCGATTTTTGCCCATTTTCGACGCCCACGATGGATACATCGGGGTGTCCGATTTTGACCACATTTTCGAATGCGGATTTTTTAGCTTTTTTACGTTCTTTAGGCTTCAAGCTACGTGTGGCTAAAAAATCTAAAAAATCGGACCACGGGAACTGCCTTTTTTCAGCCGTCAAACTCCGAGGATCTACGAGTCGATTTTGCAGACTTTGGAAACGCGTGGCCGGTCTACCCTTCGACTTTTTTAAACGTTTTATACGTCAAAAAACTCGTCAGGGAATGCTCTAAAAAATGGGCTTAAAAAATCCATTTTTTTTAACCCATCCGATTTTTGCCCATTTTCGACGCCCACGATGGATACATCGGGGTGTCCGATTTTGACCACATTTTCGAATGCGGATTTTTTAGCTTTTTTACGTTCTCTAGGCTCCAAGCTAGGTGTGGCTAAAAAATCTAAAAAATCGGACCACGGGAACTGCCTTTTTTCAGCCGTCAAACTCCGAGGATCTCCGAGTCGATTTTGCCGACTTTGGAAACGCGTGGCCGTTCTATCCTTCGACTTTTTTAAACGTTTTATGCGTCAAAAACTCATCCAAAACTGCTCTAAAGTACAGGCTGAAAAAATTCGTTTTTTATAACCCATCCGATTTTTGCCGATTTTCGAAGCCCACGATGGAGTTCTTCGATTGGCCCGATTTTGTCCTAATTTTATACCTCGGATTTTTTAACTTTTTTACGTTCTTTAGGCTTTTCAGGTACCCGTGGGTAAGAAATCTAAAAAATCGGACCTCTAGAGTTATGGTTTTTGGCCGTCTACTCGAAGGAATCTGAAAAATTGAAAGATACAAGGATTAAGCGACAATATGTAATCGAGTATTTTTTTATTTCTCCGTAATTTTATGCAGAATACAGTACTAATTATACACGAGGTGTATTTATACTTCATATCTTGTATTTATATTAATATATATTCTCCCGGATCTTCTGTTCCTTGTTTCTCTTATACGTCATTACTTAATTACATCACATCAAACGGACACGGTGCTGAAAGGTTTTCTTACCGATTATGTACACATGTGTTGCGGTTAATTGTGCCGATAAACGAACGTTGCTTCCGGGTTGGTGGAACGACGAACGAAAAATCCAAAGGGGGTGAACCGAAAGCTTGCGAAATTCGTTCGATCTCCATGGTTCCTCGAGATACCGTATATTCGTGCCATTGCGCCGATTATCAAATCTTTCTCTCCCTGTACCGTACAGCAGAAGAACCAATCGAAGATCGCACCCTCGCACGCTTCGGTCCTTAAAGGGTGCTCTTTCATGCGCACATCCGGTGTACGTGCGTATGTACCTGTGTGTACGTGTCTGCGTGTATACGTACCTCTGAGTTTACTTATCCTACGAATTACGATTATTGGTCGAATATTGTTGTTCGAAGCCTCTCTCTCGCGTAATATCGATTCTCCTCTCGCGACCTCCTGCTCACGGTGTCGCGTATCGGCAAAGTATATATTTATATATATCTTGCTCTTTACTCTTTATATTTTTCTTTATACTTTGTTTACTAGGTACACCTAGAGCGAAGCGTTACTATAGGTTGCACGTGTCTAGAACGCGTTACATAGGTCGCTTGGATCGCCTCGTAAGGCGGTCTTGACACGTATACCTTGTTTCTGTACTACCAGGAAAAGGCCAGTAATTGCTCGAGAAGAGTTCTAGACGATCAGGGTGAGAATCGAGCTGCGCGAGCGAAGACGAAACGGCGTCGAAGAGGAACCCTCGGGCGATTCGACGCGAGCTCGACGAGTCGGACGCAGAAAAGTGCGAGCGGTTAATAGCTTGGCAATGAAACGAGAAACGAGAATTGCGGTGGGATAAGTCGATCCGTGAAATTGAGTCGAGGTCGGGAAAAGAATAACAACGGGACAAAGAATTACCTCGAAGTCTGGAGAGAAACTAGCAGATATGGCGTCAAATGGAAACGAAATCGAATAGCAAATTGAAACGAATATCGAGTCGAGAAACGAAAATTTAAATACGTAATTAACGTGAAAAATGATCCATAGAAATAGCAGATTCATCGTTGTATATTCCACTATATATTATATAATCGTAGACACTTGGACGACAAATAATAAAAATATTTAAACTAGCGAGAAAATATTTCGATATTCGATAGTGACCAATTTTGCGAATTAAGTAGAAGAATGAAACAAAAATTTGTCTCGAGGAGTCCAATGAGAAACGAGTCAGACAGTGATAATTGGAAACGAAATCGAGTAAGAAATTGAAACGAATATGGAGTCGAAAGACGAAAATTTAAATACGCAATTAACGCGAAAAATGTATCATCGAGATGGCGTATACAATGTCGTAAATGCAAAATAGAAGTTACAAAATCACCTACACTTGGGGGTAATAATAAAATAATAAAGATATAAAAATTATAAAATCGCTCTAAAATCATCCGTTTTTCGATTAAGTCATAAATTTAAAGATCGTTGAAAATCAGAAGAAAATAAAAATTTCCACCGATCTTCGTCTATCTTTCTGCATCCGCTTCGAACCACGGGTTCCGCTTTCCTTTGAATTCCCGATGCACGTTTGATTATCGCGAAAAATTGAGAAAACATCGAGAGTGCGCGTAATCGGCGCGTAATCGGCGCGTAATCGTGGACATTCGTCTTCGCTCGCGTTTCCGCTTTCCTTTGAATTCCCGATGCACGTTTGATTATCGCGAAAAATTGAGAAAACATCGAGGGTGCGCGTAATCGGCGCGTAATCGTGGACAATCGTCTTCGCTCGCACGTTTCCTATCGAGGTATTCTCTCGGTAGCGTGGCTGCAAATGTACCTGCTATCTTTTTGTTGCATTTTTGTTTCTTTAGATTCTATCACGCGTTTTGGCCCCTCGTCCGCTGCAAGAAGGAAAACGAACTCGTGCCGAGCACGTAACGCAAAAGTGGCAAGTGCGTGGTCGCGTTCGCGTCGCTACTAATGCGAGCGACGCATGGAAATGGCGCGAGGCTTTCGGAACGATCCGCTCCGACCAATTCCACACCCCAAAGTCTTGCCGTTGGGAAATCGCCCTTAACGAGAAACACGCGAATGTTCCCCTGTTGCGCCGCGAAACAGGCAATTGATCTCGCTTATGACTTCCTCCTATGTACAGTTAACTTACTCGCGCTTGAACGAGGTACGTGTCGTGTCTTTGGAACGTTCAACGGGTTCCGCGAGTACGCCGTTTCAGTTGCTTCCACTATAATCGTCGAGAAGGAGATTTCGAAGAATTCGAAGCTTCGAAGAAATTTCGCGCCATACATACGGCGTCTCATTTTAAGTTTCCAGACTATTCGCAATTATTTACTAGTCTATAGCTCGTTCGCGAGACGTTTCGAGCGAAACTTACCCTGTTTCGTTAAATGACCTCGAACGAGTTTCAAACACCCAAGTATTATAGATCAATGAACTCACTCTGAAATATACTATCCGCTTACGTAAGAAAAAGTATATAGTTCCGTTAAGGAAAGCAAAGATCGCCTTAAAATCTCGAACGAACGTTCACTTGGTAAAAATTTGTGAATACCATAAGATGTCCTCGTTGAAATGTAGTAAATTTCGTTTGAAATATTTTTTGAAAGGAATTATAATTTATGAAATAATCGCGAATAATTGCGAAACTTCAAATGGGACACCCTATATATATATCTGTATACTCGAAGCTTCGCGTGTGTTTAAATTTAGTCTTAGGTCGATTTCGAGATCAATTGTAACCGGTAAAGGTAACGCGATAATTTTCAAGTGACAATTACGAATGTTCTCGGAAATCAAAGTTTCCCCGCCATATTTCTTCGATATAATCTATTCGAAGTTATTCCATCTATATTTGCCCGAGTTCCGTTCGATCGAACGCGATTCCTCAGCCATGGTGTCTGAATCGCGAGTCGATGAAGACGCGACACGTACACGAAGGAGAGAAATAAAATAAATACAGGACGGATATGTTTAACCTTCGAGCTAGAGACTTTATCTTATACTTTACCCTCTATATCCCTTAGAAACGTACGCGCGCCGAATGTTCCTCCGCTTCTTAAAACCTTGCCACGTTACGAGACGCACCTCTCGACGAACGCTATGAGCCACGACTCCGAAGGATCCGCCATTATCCTTCAGGCTTCCCTCTCAACGTCCGATCTATCGAGATTAACCGGATAAAACCACGCGATTCCCCGATATGTTCGATCGAACGTTCAAACTGGACGCGTAATTTCCATCTCGCGACGTCTCTCGCTTCAAATCCACGGATAATACACCTATTCCGTCCCCTTCCGTTTATGTATGTATGTACATGTACACGAAACGTAGCACACGTTAAGTAAACGCTAGTGATATCTCTTTTACATTACATTTACATACATTAAAGCTGCACCTTTACGTGTATACGAATACACATCTAATGTAAGTATGTACAACGACGTTTACACCCCTACAGACCTAACCCAGACAGCTATGGTTGCATCCGATCCTTCCCGATTCCACTCTCCCTTTTTCTTCGTTACATTCGTCCGATCGTCCATTTCCCTTCCATTTTCCCATATCCTCTGAAAGTTCGATTCGATTCGTCGAGATAAGAGCTTTCGTTCGCATCCTTTGATTTATTACGATTTAAGATTGCTGCAAGTTGTTACAAGTTCGAAGCGATTTATTTTCTGCGAATTTCGTTATTTCTCTGAATTTCTGTTCGAATAAAATTTCTCGCGCTGTTATAAATAGCGTGATTAAGAATTGGAGATCGAAGGGATGATCGGAGGGCGCGAGTAAGCTTTTTAAAGCGGCTTATTCGATAAAGGCGATCCTTTTGGCGCGTTTTCAAATTCGCTTAACAGTGTATCGGGACTTATTCGTTAAAAGAATATATAACTGAGAAAAGTGGTCGAGAGATAGAGAGGGAGGTATTGGAAGAATGGAAGAAAAACAGCTATCTTTAAACCGCGAGTCTGAAACCGAGTTTCCAAAACTTCGAAGCGTATTTGTAGTCTCCTGAAGAATCGTGCAGAGCGGATCGGGGGGATCGAATCTGCTCGAGAAAGAAGCAACTTTTGGCCTTCTTTCGTGCCAATCAGCCGGTCGAATCTTCGAGAAAGCGAGTGTAAGCTTGCCTCGTGGCGGAAATCCGCGCCATGTTGCGCGAGCGCGTTGAAAATGGGGCTTGACGCAGCGCGAAGACTTTCAACTTCGCGACGTTTCGTCCAGAGGAACGTTGCATTCCCCTCGAGGAAACTTCGCCACGAATTCGACACTTGTGCGAATAGCCAGCTGCGTCTATCGATTCTGCGGGCTTCGTGCTAACAATTTCACCGATTCTCCACGACTATAATTCGAGATAAAATGTCTTGTTGCAAGTATTAGGGTGTCTTTGAAAATATTACGTATTTCAAAATTGTATATCATTAAGAAATATATATATCTCATCGTGATCAGCGTGAAAAGGCTCTGAAGCTTATATTAATATCGGTATCGTAACGATATTATATGAATATCGTATTAGTACTATCTTTTTGCATCATCTCGTATATGTATAGGCGATTTAGAATAATCGGAAAGGATGATGGTTACGTAATATTTCTAGGATACCCTGATATTGTACGCAAAACATTCGCGCTTACAGACGTACCCCGTTTTGTATTTGAGTGAGAGTTCGAGTGTACTTATAGTAGTTGGTATTATTTTTTTCATTTTTCTTCTTTTCTTTAAGATATAAGAAATTAGAAATTTCGAGGGTTCTGTAAAAAAATGAGAATAAGGCAAACAACGTTTACCTCGTGTTGCGTATAAACGTAGAATTATTTATAAGCAACGGATCGAATCGGAGTTCGGATAAAATTGATCGTCCTTAAAAAATGCGAGAAACTATAAATTTCGAGGGGAAACGAGGATGACGAGTAATCGTTATTTCGTGTGGCTCGTTAAACGATCGAATTCGATATTATACCTTCCGTCTTTCCTCAAAGATGAAAGTCTTCGTTCCTATGAGAAAACGTATGCTCTTAGTTACACACTAATTGTAAGAAAAAACAGGTACGGACAAAGACAGCGTCCCAATGGCAGAACGCTATGGAAATCCCGTCGACGTATCAATGTTAGCGTCCTTTCACACTCGCTAGCACTTCATCGCGAACGGATAATTGTGCTCTAAGTACGTTTACGATTTATCCTTTCCTCGTCTACACGTGTGTCTGTGTACGCGTGTCTGTATGTGTGTGTATGCCTGTGTATCAACGTGTGCTCGATTTCTGCCGCCTATCGCGGCTGGTAACTTTAGGCTACGCTTACGATGGAAACTCGACCAACTATTTCTACGTTTTCATAGTAATATTTACTTGTAAAATAAGCCGAGGAAGTAACGCCTTAACGACCGCTTCTTTTCCTCTTTGTCTTTCTCTTCCGAAGATTCCTTTTCTTACGGTACACTGTTGTCAATTTTTCCGCGTTAATTACAGAGTCATACCGAGGTGCGTATTCTTGGTACCTTTAATTTTATACCTTGTACTCGACTACCGACTGTATCGATGGAACCTTGGAAAATAAAATAATCAGATATTTTTAATATCTGCTTCGTTTAAGGACCATCTGTATTTTTATCCTAGAGAACAGTGCGAATAGTCGTTCCTCGCGATGCTACGTGTAAAGTCGATAATGAAAGGGAAATTTGCATAACGAGAAGACTCGAATCCAACTTACGTCTCATTACGTTGACATAATGCTTCTGATGCGTGGGCACGTTTTATCTTCGATCAAGAGGGGCATAAATCGTTTGCTCGGTGACGGAATAGAAATCGACTATCGATTGTTCAAAGCTGATGTGACTCAGCGACAGCTCACGATCCTCGAATAGTATGTAAATTGTGCGAAGAATATATAAGTCATACCATTTTGTAATTCAACTATGACCCACATTTAGTCATACAGACCTCTCATCGATCGAAAACTCAACTTACGAACGAAACTCAAATTATCGAGACCTATCTTCCAATATATTTTCCGACAGATCGCATTAAACATTTTCCAAATACATAGACTCTGGTCCAAATAACTAACGAAGACACGGTAAACGATACACGCGGGAAAAATTCGAATCTTCGGTCGAGACATTTTTCCGAAATAAAATATCGCTTGACTCGAATTTGTATCTAGTAACTAGATCTATCAGCGTAGTTAAGGCGTCAGTTCCTAAGCTGAGGGACTACGAAAATCTCTGCGACCTGCGTAGGGTAGCGTAAGGAAGATCTCGTGAAGCTTTTGTATGTACAAATCGCAAAGATATTGCGACCGCGATGGTGCCGAGAATAGGAATACTTGAATGGCGTCGCGTGTCGGTAATGCAGAGAGGCTGCGTCGATCGAGAAAAATGAAGACGAGGGATAACAGTCGCGAAGGGACATCGATAATTTTGGTCGAGCGACAAGAAGGTGGCGTGATGGCCGTAATATAGATCGGTGGAATATAGCGTGGTAAACAAACGGTATAAATAGTCAGTGGGAGTATTCTTAATCGTACATCTGATTTTCTCGCGCGCTCCCTCGATCGTAGAGAGGGATCGCTTCTGATTACATTCTTCAGTGTGGAATCACGATCTTCTTCGTAGCCTAAAATTACATATACTCTTGAAAAATACAACGGCTCGCCAGATTTTTCATTCCTCGGATGCTGGCTGCGCCGTGTCGCCGTCTTCGCGGCTGTCGCTGCTCGCCTTTTGCTCCTGTTCCTTCTGCGCCCTCGCCTCTGCGTCTGTTGGCAAATAAAATTCCTATTATAGTATATACACTGTCTACACTTATATGTATCAATGAAATTAATATTTGAGAATTGCATTTTTCGGAACGTTTGATTCAAGGATAAGATTACTGCTTTAATTAAATTAAACACGATGTCATACGTGATAAATTTGAGTATCCGGATGAAGATGGTGCTTGGAATTAATTGTATTTGTGATTTACAGTATTTGACAATATAAAAATAAAAATATAAAAATATCTCGTAACGACAGTCGAATGCTACCGAGGAATAGGAAAGGAGATAAATGAGATTCTCGACTTTGATAAAGCTTCAAATACCTCTAACGGCTTGTTCCTTCCAAATTCTCTTGTTCTCCGCGAGACAGGGAATCCAAGGTTTACCGATCTTGAACCTTCTGCTTTCGCCACCAGATCCTATGGATTATTCGTCATTTGAATACGTTTCCAAACGCAGGGTGGTACAAGCGAAACGCATCAAAGCGTGACACAGATAGGCTCTCTCACCGTTGTTCGATTCGTCCACACTCTCCTTTACGTTCAACGGAGTGAGAACCGTCTCCAACATGTCGCTGCACACCTGCATGCTGGGCTCGACGATAAACTCGATGAATCCTATTTGCGATTCAGCCACCAGGGTATTGTTACGGTCGCAGAGCGGAGAAAACGGCAATCCAAGAGCCTTTTCCTTATCCCCCTGCCGGAAGAACTCCTCCAGCAGCTGCATGGTCCATCTGAGTGGAAAGAGCATCACGCATTCTATTGGCCAGTTTGAAATTTTTGAACGATCGTGCAGACTCGTAAACGCAAACCAACTGTGGCGATAAGCAAATTCTCGAGAGCAAAACGACAATTGTTCCAAGAAAATATCGATACTCATGTCAGGACTTTATTTGGATGAACGAAGATGAAATTACGCATAGATAGATACGTATGTAGGTGTGTTTGGTTGTTTGGAAATATAGGATTATCAACGCGAGCGAAAATAGGAGAATTTGTTGATCGTCACAGTAGGTAAAGAAAGAAAATTATTAAATAGAAAATATTTCAACTTTCAACGCGAGCAACTACTCTGGTCACGACGATACTCGACGTGTAATTACCGTTCGAGCCGAGTTAGAATTCCGTTTTATTCCAATGTGAACTATACGTCTCGAGTATTATTCGTAACAATCGCTCGGTTCCTTAGAATTCGAGCAAAAGTTCTACCTGTGATGAAGATCCCATCTTTTGGCCGGATGCGAGATGTCGCAACAATGGAGAACAAGACTGACAGCCTTGCTTTTGTCGACGCTAGGCTCCGCCAGGCTAAGAATGTTTTTCATGTTCTTCAATTGTTGGAAATGAAAGCTCATATCAGTCGCAAGCACCATGTCGATCACCAGCGAACGAAACTCTCGAAATTCCTCTCTCGATAGATTTTGTAATATGTTGCACTCATCCTCCCTCAATATTCTGGGAAAAAAACATTGGTCTCTTAGATCATGTTCGGTATAATTACCCGAATTTTTAATCACGAAGAGGTGGAATTAATATTTTCAAATTGGGTATTATTATAGTAAAAATATTCAACGATTAATCGAATTCCACGTTTCGTGGGAATTCGATGAAATTTAAACCGCGAGGAGATAATGGTACCCGTTCGACATCGTGAATTCGCGATTTCATCGAACGGCAAGATTTACGAGTAGAGCAGGAACGCCTTTCGCGATTAACGATCGACAAATTGAAAGGAAAATGGCTGACAATCATCGAGTAGTTTAACGCACACGCGCCGTGACCTTTGGTGGCACGTACCGGAAGCTCGCGGAGATGTGGTGATTTTCCAAAACGGCCCGATCGTTGTAGAGGAGGGCTGTATCACTGCCGGACATTACGTGGAAATTGTTTGTGGTCCCAGTGTGCTCGTAGTCGTGAATAATCGCCGCAACCAGCGTGGCGAAAATCTCCAGGTCGGTCAGCCAATTCTGCAAACAAGCAAACGTCGTTTCGACCTTTCGCACCCCGTATAATTCCTGTCAAATGAGCAATTTCCGTGGGAAGGCAAGCAGAATCTGACCGAGGAAATCGAGCAAACCGAAATTTATTTTCTGGCTGCCGCCACCCCGTGGAATTTGTTCCTTTTACAAGCAGATACTCGAGTGACTCGTGCGTGAAGCTGCACAAGTGTCGGCTAACTTTTAAACGAGAAACTGCTGGATATAATGGTACATGGCTCGAGGACTGTATGCTGCTGGGAAACTGGCGAAGTGGTTTCCTCTGCTCCACCCCCGATTCGTTGGGTTTACAGTTTAGAGTTTTCGGCTAGTTACGCGTGATTCGTGGCAGAGTGGCACGAAAGGTTCTCGACGATAAACAAACCGAACAACGAAGATCGAAAAGGTATTCGCTTTCAACCTTGTAATTTTTCGGACTGATCGATTTTTTGCGTTGCGAGAACGAGAGTATTCTTTTCTGGACTAAGTTATGATCGAAGGACGATATTATTCTTTAACTCTTTCGCTGCAGAACGCTCAGAAATGAATAGCTCTCTGGACCGCGCGAAAAATTATATTGGATTATGTGAAAGAATCTGTGCACAAGAAGCGTATGCTGCTAGCGTGTCGAAAGCAAACGAATTAATAAGAATTATTGGGCAGTTACTGATAACAAATGCACGGCGCCTAACGGCGCTCTTCGGTCGGAGAGAGCGAGTCTGGAAGATCGCCTACAGGCGCTGTTCGTTTGGAGGGCGCAGTGTACTACGGCTGAGTGTCTACAGGCGCTGTTCGCAGCGAAAGGATTAAAAGTAGTTCGTCCCCGATTAAAGCTCGAACGAAACTCACCATGAGTCCTGTTTGACATAAAATGTAGTGCATAGTCTGTGCGACATCAGCTGCGTGAAGATTGTTGTGGTACGGATTTCGATGCCTGCAGTAGCCCTCCTCGACTCTTCCCAAGAAGCACTCGAGTACAGTAGCGGGGACTTTGAATTTATGGATCATGCCGTATCGATTCAGTAGATCGTAGCCGAGATACTTCACCGGGGCTCCCATCGCTGCTTCGCTCAGTGAAAACACGTCGAATGACCAGTCGTCCAAGGTCTTGAATGAGAATATCAATTTCAGCACGTTCAAAGGCAATCTGTATTTTCTTCCCACCATTTTCGAACAGTTGGGAAAAGTTGGAAAAAGAAACCAAACGCGACAGGGACCTCGATCTGTTTCGAATTTATAGTTTGAATCGTAACTTCATGAATCATGCTCTCGGAAAGTTTGTAATTTTCAGGTCGTAAGGTCAGTGTCCATGAACTTTCGCATTGTTAGACTTTGAACTTTGTAGCTCCTAGGTTGTAAGATCTTCGGAACCGTGAAACCTCGAGCTCGATAGTTTCGAGGTCGCAAGATCAGTCTCGAGCTACTCGGGACCCGTATAGGAAATTTCGAACCCTATAATCACCGAATCTCTAAATAGTCAAAGTATCTGGGTACGAGTATCGCAAGAGGTTCCTCCGAGTATCTACATACGCGAGGAGCTCTAACTCGACAGTTGCAAATTTGCGAGATCACTATTGATGCGTTTATTCCCCTGACACGACGAATATCGTAGGCTAGGATCTTTCACCTTCGACGCCATGGAATTCGACATCCCGTGTTCTCCATTCCCACCTTACGACCTCGGGGTCATGAATATTTGGCTTACACTATCCCATGACGAATTAAAGCAAATCTTACCAACCCTGGGATCGAGTTACTCAGTCCCACGACCTATGATCCTGCTATTAAATGTCTCGACCCAAAATTGCTTCGTCCACGAGAATGAAAGTAACCCTGACATGTCATCCGAGATACACCCGACAGAATTTTGCTGTACGTTCGAAAGCGCTGATAATCCGAATGCAATCTGTCTTATGGCACGGAAGCGTATCGCTATGAGCAAGTATTACTCCTCATCGATCATGCTGACGCGCGAATCAGACACGATAGGCGGCAGGATAATGCTCGTATCGAATGCACCCGGTATACCTTGAGCACTTTAACCACTTCCTGCGGGAACTGCATGAGCGCGGTGTTGGTGACCCGCCTGTAAATCCGATCGACGAAGATCCCCGCCCTGATGGCGTGCGCGACCGAGCGGAACTTTGGCTTCTCGTCGGCCTTCCGTCTCGTGGTCGCGAGCTGTCTCGTGAAGGTCGAAGCCAGCCACTCGCGGACTTCCGGCGGCACCGCGTCCGGCTGTACCTCCGACAGTTCGTCGTCCTCGTCCGCCAGCCGCCTAAGGAAAATGTTCCGGTTAAGTGATACGCGGCGAGACCAGAAACGATCGCGGACAAGTTGGAATCACGGTGGACAACTCCTACCTTCGCTAACTTTCATTGCTTTTTTTTACATGGGAACAGAGGTTTACACTCGGGTTCCCCTAATTAATCGGATCGTTTCCGCTATCGATTTCTTCCCTTTCCTAATTCGTTTCGTTCCTTCTTTTTCTCGTTTCTTTTCTCAAAATAATTTCGCACCTTTGGCTCTACCCTATCGTTTTCCGATTTTACTCGTTGCGGCACCGTTTCGAGCGTGTTCGGTAAGAATGAACGGAAAAAGAAAAAGAGAAGAAACTCATGGCTGGATCGTTATAGAGGATATTGAACATTCATGGACTTCGCTCGAAGGCAAAGAGGAAGCTAATGGTAGCTTACGCTTATCTCTGCCTCTGATCGTGAGGGGTGACTTGTTGGCGGGGTGCGTGTGAAGCTGTGAATGTTACAATTTTTCTCTTTCTCTTGTTTCTATTTGCTTTTCTCGTTTATGTATGTGTGCGTGTGTGTTTCGATGCGAGGTGTTTGATGCAACCAGGATTCGTGATACCAGGGAAATGTTCATCTGCTATGCAACGTTTTGTTCCCCGGATGTTTTGATCGGTTGCCGCGTATTTTTGCAAACTATTGTTCTAGAATTTTTGTAACTCCATTTTTGGGTTTGCTGGCTTTATAGTTTCTACTTTTCAGGGACGTATAATGCTCGTGTACCGCGAAGGTATTAGTTTTCTGTCATACTCTCGATCGCGTTTGGTATCGATTGGGAATGTAGCTGTGTTCATGTATCGTCGGATTTTCCGTGAATATTCGTTGAAAAATGTAAACCGAGTACCATGTCTGGCCAGCAACTGATTTTTCAATTTACTCCTCGCGCGTTTCGGTAACTCTAATTTCGAAATTCTGCGCTACAACACGTCGCCTCTATTAGGAGCAAAATATATTCCGTTATTATAGAACTTTCGTTCTCTGTTATTACGAACAATTTTATTATTCTCCACTAATGAATGTGAATTATTACCACAGGCAGGAGTTCTGCTAAGCTAAGCTTAATTATGATAAAGTTTCGCTCCAATGTTGTACATTTATTCCTTTCGTTTTATTCTCCCCCAAAGGTGAATTCGAGTTATTTGTAGGTAACAATGGAATTCATCCTTGTTAATACGATCGGCATTGTGCTCGAATAGTTGGATACAGTGGAGATGTGTAGCTAGGAGATGACACTATGCGAAAGCGGTTCAAGCAGAAAACATACTATGTCTCAGAATGACTAAAGAATCGTAATGAATAAATAAAATGTGCTGTGTCGAAGTGTATTTTTACGAGATGATTGTGTAAAATTGCGTAGGTCAAGAAACAGCTGTATAATCGTCAAACGTTATCGGTGCAATCGATGAAATTTGTGATTCAACCAATCAATGACGTACCTATCTATGCGTCGACTTTATTAGGAATCTAACCTTTGAATTTTTCGTTCAATTTTGAATATGAAAAGTTTTCTTCGGCGTCAAGAGTAGCAAAGGAAGCCATGGGAATTAAAAAGTCCTTGCAAGTTTTTATAAGTTATAAGTATGGTGCTATATACACTGGCCGTTAATGTCTTTAATACTTTTAAGAGGGAGCTCGGTAAGGTTAATAGGAACCGCGATGGAATCTTCTCTAAAGAATATAACACTGAACAAAGAGGAATCATGTTTGCCGATGGAACAAGAGATCCGTCACGTTTAACATCCAAAAGGTTTTAAAATTAATTTCTGTTAGTATAACGTTCCCAAGTTCTAAATCCAGGGAATGCAAAAATTGCATACACTCTTATTCGCAAATTAATTCTCAATTTAAATCGTACTTCTTAAATCGTAGTAAACTTCGTTACTATATTATAGCGTAATTGCAAATTTTAATAAAACAAAATTCGCTTCACGTTCGATCGTTTTCATGAAATTTTCTACATTCGATATTTGGATATTACGTCGTTGTCAGAGTTCGGAGGAAATTGGAAGAATTAAGGAAACCAATATATATTTCTTTGCGAGAAATCTCTTATACGACACAATGATCGAGTGTAGCATAAGAATTGTAGTTCGCACGGTACAATAGAAATATTTCCTGGATTTTTCTTTGAGCTGAAAAGTTGACGTTGGGAGAAGAATCGCGGAGGAGATCCTGGACGAGGGTTTAAAAAATAAAACTCAGTCCCTGTCGAACGTCGAGGGGATAATATGCTACTGACCTAAGAAAAGAAGTAATCACTCTTTCAGTTCAGCGTTTCATTTTTTAGAGTGCCGATTTTCATTACTTTTGCATCCAATCGATGGAAATCTTTATATACTGGATAAATACCTAGGTTGTTGTTGGAGACGAATAAAACTACGATTAATTTCCTTCTTTGCTATAACCATTAGAAAAATTAGACAAATGCTACACATTGATCACGAGTGCAGGAACACATTTCGAGCGTAATCTTTTACGGTAGGGATATGTGGAATTGCTGGTACAAATATTGATTTATTAATACTGCTTTATTGCACAGAGGATTTTCACGGAGAATAGAAATATTACAGTAAATTTATATTTATATCGTATGGTAAAATTCCGATGTGGGCAAATTTTATTTTGAAATAAAAATAAATAATCAATTGGAATAGTTTCATTTTACTTTGTTTATTTTATTCTGTTAGGCTCCAATTACTGTGTGATTTTCAATTTATTTTTTAATTTAGCTAACCGGTCGAAAGAAAGTAATAGATAATTTCTAATTGTAAATATCCTATCAGTAAAGCCGGATTATTTCGCAACGAAATTCGCTCTGAGGGTTGTTCTCGTTTCAATTACTCTTGTATAATAAGTGTGCCAGCATGTGTGCGTGAGATACCGTGAGAGAATTTGTATCTCTGACGAAGTTGATAGAACAGAATCTGAATTTATTCGAATAATTATTTCAGGGAACATTTATCCCATTAAATAATAAAATGGCCAAATTTCTTAATCACAGGTACAATTAATTGGGACAAGCATGCTTAATGTTATTTCAATACGAACAAATGGTAATTGTAATTTGGCAATTACTCGACGATTTCAAACGTTCTCGTGCTTTAGCGAGTGTATTTACAATAGCATTAGGTAATGCTGTTCAAATCAGACAGATTAGCGAGGAGTGACGATTCATGCAGAATGTAGATGATAATGGCGCAACAATTCACATTGGAAGGGCAACGGTGAAACTGTGACATTTCATCTTACTACACGTTCGTACATTTAACATTTTACAAATACTACTCTAATTAATTTTACTCAATTTCGTGCTTATAACATCCTCTTCGGAAGCTTTCTTCTTTATTTCAATATTCCCTGATACTTTCATAACGAATCTAACAATATCATACTGCAATAAAATACTACTTGGATTATTTGGACTCGAGCAAACCAAAAGCCACATCATTCCAATACAAAATACAATACCAAAAAATTGCCCCAAAAAGTTAAACGATATTATTAATAATTTATTTATTTCAATAATTTGCTTCACTGAAATTCACTGAAAGAAAAATAGGAAGCAAAGAATGTCACAATACCAGTTGGACGATGTTCTCCGAAGATGGCGTCGCGTCGCCCTTACAAGCGCGCTATATTCGTAAACTGGAGGACGAGAGATCGTCGCGTCTCGACGTAGCGAGGTAAATGAAAAGAGAGAAGGTCAGAAAAACGAAGAATGTGTCGCAGAGCGATGCGTATCGTGAACGTGAACGAGATCTTAGCGATTTCTGTTATTCAAACATTTGAACGAACCTACGTCTTATACCCTGCCGGCAAGTAGCGGTTGACTCCACACGCTCGGCGTCTCTATAAATCGAAACATCAAGAAGAAAACGTGTGTCACATTAACGATAGATTTACATTCATCAGGCCGTATCTAAAGCACGAAACGTCCGCCTGCGTGCGTGTATATCGACAGACTCGAGCATAGACGGAAATAAAGAGAGGAGCCAGAGAAAGTAAGAAAGAAAGAAAATGAAAAATAACGGAAATAGAAACGAGAGAAGAGAAAAGGAGATGTTTGCGTACTTTTGTTCTATCAGCGATTATCATTCTCTTCTCTCTTTCTCTCTCTCTCTCCCTCTTTTTCTTTATTCTTTTTTTCACTTATTTCCCTTGTCTTTTTAAGCTGCAAAGCGCTTACGACGACTTCGTCATTCGTTACGTACAGGGGACGTTCGAGCATTCCATTGAAACAGCTCGTTTCGTGTAATAAGTGATTTTTCTGCGCACACCATCTTTTATGTATATATATACGTATATATATATACATACACGCATGCACGTTCTCGCATAGATGGGCGCAGGGAACACGCACATACATAGAGACAGAGGGAGGAAGTCGACTGTATTTTTTTTTTTTTAAAGAGCGATGCATACAGCTGGTAAACAGGCAGTAATCCAAGAAGTGAGCAGGTTACACCTAGAAAGATCTAAAAAGAGGCTAGAGAAAGGGAAGAAGACAGGCCAGGCAGGTAGAGACAGTCGTCATGCTGTGTTTGGAAGTGTTTGACGCGCGAGATTCACCGAGCTTGATCAAACGTCATTCAATTATCGCGTAATTTCAGAAATTGCTGATTTTTCACAGTTTTCGAATCTTCGACAAAAGTTCTTTATTCCGATTTTTCTTTTTCGTTTCGTTGAGAAGAGGAGGATCAAACGCGTGGCAAATCGAATTGCGGAGTTCGAACGAGACTCGCGTATGATCGTGTTTGACACGGAAATAAAACGGATGTAAACAATGATCGCGTTAATCGTTGCTCTCCGAGTGTGTAATTTATATCGTTTCTGTAACTACCTTTCGTGGAATATTTGAAAACGAAACTCGACTGCAAGAGGTAGAGTAAATCTTTGCATGTGTGCTCGTTATATCTAAGGACTAATATCGTACATCTATGCCAGTCGTTCAGCACTGCTGCTTCGCAAAATGATTTACGTCGGATTTAATTCCGGTAGCAAATTAGCTTCGCTATTTACACGTTACTATACCTATGGATTGGTGTACTAATACCTATTGATAATAAACCTAGACTTATTAATAACACTCGTGCATTATAGATATGTGCAGTTTGGTAAGTAACAATATAACAATTTCGGAGGTACTATAGATTACGCTAACGTTCGACACACAGTGTACTAAGAGACGTATTAATTCCTGTGCACAACGTCTACGCTACCGATTTGGTATAAAGCCAAAGCTACGTTGACTAGAAGAAAACGTGTTATGTAGATCTGCGAAGCGACGTTGAGGGAGCGAAATTGCTTCGAAGAAATCTCATACGCTTTATTAAAAGAATTCGAACGATCGAAACAATTTAAATAATTGAAAAGAAATATGAACAAATATTACATATCAATAATACCTAATTTTTACTGAAATAATTCTTTAATAAATGACCGTAAGGTAGAGAATCGAAGAAAGGGAAAGAAAATGAAAAATCGTGACAATGTCGTAACAAAAGTATTGTCTGAAAAGGACGAAGAAAATACAAGAGAAATTCTGCACGTGCAAGCGGAACGGTTCCACGAGACTGTTCCAACGAATAGGAACATTCAGCGCCAGCGTTTCGCTCTCACCCCCATCGTCGCATTCATTTTTCACTATCTGACTGGTCGATCGAGTCGGGCCGGAGTTCGGTTCGGTACACGGGATAAGGTTCGATTCCCCCTAGATGCTAATGATCGAGCAAACAACGCATGATCGTGACCCTTAACAACGAGCTCGATGAGATCGAGAAAAGATGTCAACGCGTGATGGAGGAACGACAGAACATGGCGGATGTCTGGGCTGATAGGTTCGCCGGATATTCTGAAGGTTCGAGAAGGGTTCACAGGGGTGTGGGGTGGGGTGAACAGTCGTGTGAGGTCGGAAATGTGAATATTTCGCAACCTTGCCCATACGGGGGTGCGAAGCTTCCGTTTCTGGGTTACCACCGCGTGGCCCTGTTGTCCGTCCGAGTCCAAGCCGCTCCCCAGGGATGCAGATGACAGGCCCGCACCCCTACGCGATGACCGAGAGCACTCAACCCCTCCTGAATTCACCCTGCGGTACTGCTTGTTAGTGCACGTGTCAAGTAGGGAACAGAACAGTAGAACATTACACTTTTTCTTTATTTATAATCATTAGCATTATAGCGGCCGCCATGCGGAGGGGATCTAGGCCGGCTAGGTCGTTCGAATCGATCCCGCTGTCCCCTGTGTGGACACCTGTTTCTAAGAAATAATTATTCCACCAAGAGTTAAGGAGAACCTCGTCGCACCGATACAGGCTCTGCAAAGATTAGGATTAAGGTGGATTAGGTTTGTCGAATCGCAGTCGCGTTGATTTACGTAGACTCGAGTAGACTCTTCGAGGTAACCACGCGTTTGTCGTACCTGTTGAAAGATGTTAATCGTCAAACACGTATGTACATGTTTATATCTAGGCAAATCATAGATCTCGGTAGACTACGTTCCGAATAAAATGATGATTATATATGCGGGTATAACAGTTGATGTCGAGTTTATTATTTAGAGATGTTTAGGTAGAAAATTCGCTGCATGCAAGAAGAATGCAATTCGTTGCATTGTGGTATTTCAGCGTTATCGGAAATGTTGGAATTTTGCGAGCCTTTTTGGAAACATTCGATCTTTCGGTTTTTCAGTCGGGAACACCTTCGCTATTCCAGAGAGGTAAAAAATGATCCTGAAGTTGAATTGGCATTTCCGTTAGTCAACGTTGGAACTTTATGAATTTCGACGCTTGAACGAAATGAAAAAAAAAAATGAATAGCAGAATAAGAAAGGAACGTCAAGAAATTGAGATGTATTGGCATTTTATTTTCCACTGAATATAAAGAAACAACTAATCTACAAATAACTTATATGTTTAAATAAAACGTAGAGAATGTACGAAGTAAATATAAGAGTGAAGAGAGCCATTCGAAATATCAAAAATGTACGAAATTATAGGAAATACGAGCAGACACGTCTCGCAAATAATGATGAATAAAAACTTATAAAAAACTGATCGAAATAACTGTTGAAAATCGTAAATTCATTGTTAGTAAATCTTCGTAAATTTTTACGATATATAGAAGGGAAAAAAAGTAAAAAAAATTGAACTTGCCTCCTGTGAGGATTGAACTCACGACCCCTGGTTTACGAGACCAGTGCTCTACCACTGAGCTAAAGAGGCGCTCTTGATATCCTTAGTCCTCGAACTGGGGGTCGTGCTGAAAATCGGCACTTTTATCGTGAAATTACGAATAAACGATTATTTGTATCATTTTGAATAATATATATGTCATACAAACGTAACGTATTATAAATATACGTGAAAAAGTATTATCCGATATTGCCAATATTTTTTCGTATTTTCAAGGGTCGTGAGTCATACAAAATGTGATAAAATGTACAAAATACTTATCAAAATATCAGCCATATAGCATTAGATATTAATAACACTGACCATAGCAGTAATAGCGGATAAGTTACAGATTTAAGAATGATCGATTGATCGTGTCACCTAGAAATTGAATTATCGAATTTCTCGATTATGAATATACTTAGAGATAGATGCAATTTAATACTAACTTAAAATTTTTAATAATATAACGTACAACGTATGTACGGTACATTTAATTCTTCTCGAAGAAGTCGTAGTCTGCGCGTAGCTATAATGGAAACAACTGACACAATATTATTAAAGGTGGCGTTTACAGAAGAGATTATTAATTAACATTTTGAGCGAAACTTACTTGGTTTCATCGAGGAAGACAGCTTCGAGCACGCGAGCCGCATAGTGCAAATTTCGTTGGAGTAATTCTGCGGATATTTCGCCATGTTGGAGCTGTCTCAGTAAGCACCTTAGTCTATAACAGAAATTAATATTTCATATCATCCTGTTTTAAGAAATTTACATTTATAAACAAATTCAATTTGAAAATACAATTCCAAATTATCACATCTTCGGCTGGTTTTTATTCGAATATTTTCATTCAATCGATAAAGATATCCGACGTGCTCGATATAGAAGAAATACACGTATACGATCATTTTTAGTCAATTGTAATACAAATTTCGTGCAATTTATTTAACTGAGAAACAGCGGAAAATGATACTTCAACATATCATAATTTTCTGAAAAAAAAATAAGCAAAATCGACACGAAATGACGAAGCAGAGTACAGGAACGAAAAAACACCGGCATAGGGGAAAAAGAGTTTCGTGGAAGTCATACCTGAGGGCAGCCTTGTCGCAAGCGTCGGGGGTGTCAACGGCAGGAAGCGAGTCCGTCGTTAGATCGACATTATCAAGGATCTCATCGAGATCCACGGACTGGCTTGACGAAAGAGCG